CTCAACAGTGTTAGTCATTCACCTCTCTGTTATATTTATATCTACAGCCAGTGATGCTTCTCAGTAGAACGGCCAGAATCCTCCTCAGTTTTCAACAACTTTGACCTAATCACTCTACTGCTGCACTTTGATTAAAACTGCTCTAATTCAGTCTTGCTTACTAGTTTAATCAACTGTCCTCTTTTCTTCTTTTCTCTCCCTTAACACCCTCTCCTCCTTAACCTCTATTACTGTGACTCCCTTTCTTTTATATCTCTCTCTTTCTTTTTTCTTTGCTTTCCTTCCTTCCTTTCTTCTCAGGCCTCCCACTCTTCTTCCCCCTCTTCCTCCTCCTCCTCTTCTCTCTCCTGCCACCTCCAGCCGTCTGTGGCGGCCATGGAGGAGGCGGGCTCTGGGCTGGGTCTCAGCATGTCCGTCTCTAACTCCTACCTGATTGGCCAGGCATCTTTGACCACACCTACGGTGAGTCTCCCCCCCCCCCTCCACTCTTGGCGTGGGTTCTGTGTGGTCCTGGACTGGTGCAGGGGTGGCTTGACCTGTGTGCCCTCCATATGTGATACAGTCTGTTCGTGTACCTCTCCCCCCTTCCGAAGTCTCTGATTGGGTGATCCCTCAGAGCTCTGTGGTTTGGTGTCTGTATGGTTCTTCATTTTGTTTATCCACTCGTCCGTGTGTGCAGTTGTTTTCACAGTGTGGATTTGTTGTTTTGTTCTGAATTTTCTTTAGATATGGTGTGATTAATGTGTGCTTTGTGTGGTCGTGAGTGGGTGCATTTATTTTGTTCTGTCTGTGCAATCACTGGCTAGCTGAGCTTGTGTTTGTGTGTTGCACATTCCTCCTCGTGACAGGTAATTATTTGACTCTTTCTCTCCTTTCAGTTTGCCTCAGAGTCACAGCCAGGGAGTTGTGTGTCTTGTGTTGCTCCTCCAAATATCACAAGAGACTGTCAGGACTTAGGTTGGGGCAAATAAATAACAAAAAAACCCTTTGTTGGTATAAATGGGGCGTCTGAGTCATCAACAGGTTCTTGTTACTGAATTAGCTGGTCATTAATCAGTTCTATATTCCAGTTAGTCAGGGTCTGACCCTGATCCCAAAGCAGACCTGACTATATGTTACAGTGGTTTGGGTCATTATTTCTGGGGAGGAGGAGGTTAACCCATGATGACCCCATCGTGTGTGAGGCACGTTAAGACAGTGTGGATCTCCCTCAGGATGTCTCCGGTGGAATGCAGCACCAGATGGACCTGATGGAAAACACATTCCTCCTATTTCTGCTCGTCTTCCTTCCTCTCCTCTTCATCTTCTTCATCCTACCACGTCACTCCCTATTCTCACACACACTCACACACTCTTTATACTTTCTTAAATCTAAATCTTGAATTCAGTCTTCCCTTCACCATCATGTTCCATTTCCACACACACACTCTTCCACACATTTGTCTCTTTCTTTGGAATGTTAGCATTCCTCAATTCCTTGGGGCATGATGGTTTTGGGGGATGTCATGGTGGAGCTGCACCATGCCAGGAAAGCAGCTTTGCATATGTTGAGTGGAAAGCAAAGGAAATATTCAGCACAAAATGTCTTAATTTGATCAGTTTCTTTTTTTTACAAAAAAGTAAGCGTGGCCTGAATTGTCAGCTGATCCAGTGCATCTGTGTATGAACACGTGCATGCATTTTTGTGTGTGTATCTCAGTGCAAGTTTGTCTGCTGTGTTTATCAGTGATCTGTGTATGCACCGCTGTTTGCGGGAATGTTGAAACAGGGCTGGTATGCATGACATGTTACAACAGGTTACCGCTACCTTTCCTGGCAGTCTGGCCACACACACACAAATGTAGACACATAAGACAAACCTCAACCTAAAACTAAACACACTCAGAGTTGATGTGAGTTAATCAAAGTGTTGCTGTGGAACATCTCTCTCTCATCTTTTATATTTTATAGGTTTCTTTTGCCACTGGTTAGAGTTTTGCATTCTTGCGTTTATGTGAGTGCAGTGCATTTCATGTTCAGGCACATCAATCTCATAGTCCAGGCTTAATAGAGGTGTTGGAGAATGAGGTGAACACTTTTTTCCCCACCTTCTGCCGCCTATTGTTAAGATTCTTTTTCTGTCTGCTCTGTCTTCACCTCTTCTAGTCCTGTCCTTTATTATTATTTTTTCTTCTTTCCTGCTTTCATTCTTTGCACCAATCACAGAGCTTGGACCATGTTGCCTTGACCAATGCCACCATTCTGGATGGCAGCGGGGGCGGGCCCAACGGTTCCCTGGCTGGCTCAATGGGCTCTGTGGCTGTCTGTCTTCCTTCTGAGTCTTCTCTCACTGACTCTCTCCACACCTCAGCGGTGAGCTTACACAGGATAGATGATGGTGGAAGTACAAGCAGGATACTTATATGAACCATCTCTCTATGATAGGTCATAAAATGGGATACTGGACTTCCCTTGGCAGATTGGTGTTAGATTAAAGCAGTTTGGTATTCAGTATTGTTGCTCAGATAATAATGTAGTGACTCATATACTTTTTGTTATTATGCTGTTATTATCACTGCCCACACACTGTTTGATTATTAGTAAAATAATTCCAGTAGAGCATGTTGCACTGCATGTTCTCATTGCCAGTAAATGCCATTACCTTTCAAAACGATGCAATCCAGTGCCACCTGGTGGTGAGTACGACTCAGAGCTGGAAAACACACCGCTCAATGTTCAATGCCAGAATTCTGCTAGCTGCTACCTCTCCCCCTAAGTCACATATTCACTCTTGATGCTTGTCTGCCCCTTGGAAAACACTCTATGCCCCTCTCCGCTGCTTTACGCCTCGGTTTGTGTCCCTCCTCTTTTCCCGTAGAGCGAGAGTGCGAATGACGAGGGTGGGGAGGGGGAGTACGTCAACTTGTACTCATCCAACCAAGCCAATGGAGAGCTGCCTCTGTCCCTCAGAGTAAGTAGCTGACCGCCACGGGTGAAAGGTCAATTCCATTTGTGTGTCCCGTCACTTCAGAGAATGACTCAAGGCCCATTTGACTGGCAGACCTCACCCTTGCCAGTCATCTGTTGCACTGAACAGCTCTTATTGATTCATCTCTTGAAGTGATGGTGCTGAAATGGAATGTGAATGTAGTGAAACCTGACTGAACACGGCTTCAGATTCACAGGTTTGCCTGCTGTGGCTGTTGTCTGTGGGAAAGATGTCCATGAGTATGTTCTGCCTGGCTGTTGATTGCCGTCTCTCTGGCTGTGCTTCAACTGTTTCGAGCTTTTTAACCTTGTTCTGATCTAACACCTGCCATGTCACTGCACCAAAAGGGTTTCTTGATGGTTCACTGGGTTTTAATTTTCCAATAACATTCCCCATAACAGCGTACCTGTGCATGTGTGATAGTGTGTGTGTGTGGGGTTGTAGTTGTTTTCCCTTGGGTCAGCGTGTGCATTCGGGGTGTATTTTAGACATGTTTTGGTTGTGGTGTGTGAAGTGTAACGGAGAATGAGAGCTCAATAGCATCTGGATGTGTGATTGGAGTTTTACATTCAAGGCAGTTTCAGTGTGAGTGAGATCTACCCTTTGGTGTCTTTGAGTTTCATCTGTAGGGTTTTCCCCATACTTAGGAAAAGCTGCATTTTAACCATTAGCCTTCTACACCTCCTTTATGTCAACACTAATAGGGACAACATCGTCATCCTGAGACATTTGTACAACATCCATCCTCCCCTCCACCAGATGTGTTGCATGTGGGCCTGGTGGTCTGTACAAGCTCATCAATAACCAGGCTCCTGTCACTGCATGGAACCATTCACTAATCATGTTCCATGTATCACAGATGTTGATTATTGTTTTTCCATCCATTGATTAGGAAACAATTGCAGATGACGATGTACTTCAAGACCCCACCCCTCAAATGCCATCCACCAATAGCAAAGAGGCTTTGGACAAGGAAAGGTATGTGCTGTAATTTTTACACTCTAAGTGATATGTTGTAACTCACTACCAAACCCATGTACTCAAACTCCCAAAAAAGACTCTCAGACAGAAATGTAACTACAATTAATTAAACTGTCCCAGGGACATAAAAAACACTCTTGCTCCACTACTAATTCCATTTGCACCGTCATGTCCCGTTCTTTCCTCCGCCAATGTGTCTCCTTCCAAATCACTGAGTAACCAGGGCAACGACTATGTGCTCAATCTTCTTTTTAAAATGTCTTTCCAAAGTAAAACCAGGAGCTCTGCATTTTTAATAATACAACTGACATGTTGCTACAATCACCAACATGATGTGACAGAGACTGTCAGGGTTACAATATATAGTTGTTTCCAGGCAGTGTTANCTGTTTGGAGTGAAAAGTGTTTCCTGTTTCTAGAGTTAAAAGTGTTTCCTGTTTCTAGAGTTAAAAGTGTTTCCTGTTTGGAGTGAAAAGTGTTTACTTTTTCGCTGAGGAGACGTGAATCTTTTTTATAGACGATCTCTGATCTCAGGTCGTCACTGTTGGACACAGCCAATCAGAATGCAGCTCCTGTCTGGAACGCCTCGTATTCTTTTCCCAACCGTCCAATCAGGGAGCTGCTCCGTCCGGACGCCATTTTGTGGTTTGTGTGATGTTGTGGAGCCCGAGGCTGGAAGCTGCAGCTCGTTAGTTCCGTGTTGTGCAATGGACGGGTGAGTTTCTCGTGACTTCGCAGTTTAACGCCGTAGAGGTTGATAGTTCTGAGCAGAAGCGGAGAGTGTGTCCAGGTTAGAGTTCGAGAGGAGCGGTTTGTAAAGATGTGACTGTGGAGGAGCAGGAAGCTAAGCTAGCTGAGCTAGCTGCAGTGTTAGCCTGAGGTCGGGCCAACCCAAACTCCATGAAGTCAACCTGCTGTTTAAACGTTCAGCGGCTCAACACTTAAACCTTCGTGTATTCTGTGACTTCACAGACTTTCATTAGAGATAATAAACCACAGAAGAATCTTACAGCAGCGACCTTTACGTCCATCAGCTTCACTTTATGTCTTCACGCCCACAAGCCGGATGTTCCCTCACTGGTAAAAGTTTGTTTTAGCTTCTTGTGTTGAATCGTGGTCTCCACCGACGCAGGCTCCACACAGATCTGAAGTCAGAACTGTTGATCGCTGAAATCCAGTTTTCAAACTGAGTTTGTTTTGAGGATCTTCGTGGTTGAAGACGAAGCCGTTCAGACTAACCACAGTCAACTATACACTGGATATTAGATCATTGATCATGCACAATGAAATGGGTCCAGTTGACTTGTGAGATGCAGGACTGCTCCAGAAGGGTCGAAGTTTCAAATGGCATGAAATGTTTTGTGATTGAATCGAAAGATTCAGAATGAAGTTTTTCAAATAGAAGCATCTGATGCTTAAGCTGATGATTCTGCAGAAATCAAATCAAATTTTATTTGTAAAGCCCATGTTCAGAAATCACAGTTTATCTCATAGATGTTAACAAGGTGCTTATTAGATTATTCTAATTCATTGTATTCAGGGGTGAGCCGAAAACCACTTTCATGCCTTCAGCTGGTTCAGAATGCAGCTGCTCAGCTTTTCAAGACAAGATGATATCAACCATTGTTATTGTTATGTTTTATATTTTTTATAATATTACCATTACTGCTGCTGGCTAGCTGAGAGCTACCAAACTAAATTTCGTTGTACTTGTACATTGACAGTAAAACCTCTTGGATCTTGAATCCTGTTTTAGTGTCTCTCACTAGTTACCTGTTAGTTTTAGAATTGATATCAAGATTTTACTGATGACGGGCAGTTAAAGGGTTAAAGCACTTCGTGGTTCAGCTCCCAGCTACATTGCTGTACTGCTACTACCTTATGAGCCAGAGCACAACCTCAGATATTCGGGCAGGGCGCTGTTGGCTGTCCTGTCTTTTTCGTAAAGCTTTTTATTAATTTGGTCCACCTTGTACATCTAATATGTTCTACCTGTTTCATTTTAATATAAATCATACATTTTTGTTGGTTTTAAATTGAATATTATTGACAGGCTTTTTTGCCTCTGTCCTGTCAAAGTTTATTAACTTTGTAAAGCACTTAAAGTTTATTGTTATTGTATGTAGCCTGTTTTATCAAAACAAATTATACATCTTTTAGGTACCGATAAGCAGAACTATTAGAGTGTGACCTTTTTTGACGGTTACCTGGCATATTGGTTGGGTATTGATTATGAATTGATTGGGTATTGATTATGAATTGATTGGGTATTGATTCAAGCTGGATGATTTTTGCAGAACATTTTATCACAGAATAATTTTCACGTCAGTCAATACTGGTGTTCAGTGTCATCAGTAAAACTGCTCTTAATGGTTCAGAATGAACCGACTCACCTGTTTTATCATATGTCAGTGAATGTATCATCTTGGGGTTGACGACAGGTTCATCGTTTTGCCATTTAATCTGTGCTGATAGGACATTTTTACAAACCATCGTGTTTGGCATAATTTGGCTGAGATAGTAGCCGAGGGCTGTGCCGCCTCAACCAGACATGCATGACAGACTTCTAACACTTAATTGATTGCGTTTATATACACTCACATATCGTCTTTGTATACAGTCACAATCATCTTTGTCAGTCACCGATCTTTTTTTTCTGTGCAGTCACTTATCATCTTTATATACAGTCGCGGATCATCTTTGTCCGGTCACTGATTGTTTTTTTTTGTGGTCGCGGATTTTCTGATCGTCTTCATGTTTGGTCGCTGTGCGTCTTTATGGGGATCCCTTATCGTCTTATGTGCGGTCCCTTATCGTCTTATGTGCGGTCCCTTATCGTCTTATGTGCGGTCCCTTATCGTCTTTATGTGCGGTCCCTGGTCGGTCGTCTTTATGTGCGGTCCCTGGTCGTCTTTATGTGCGGTCCCTTATCGTCTTATGTGCGGTCCCTGGTCGTCTTTATGTTCGGTCCCTTATCGTCTTTATGTGCGGTCCCTTATCGTCTTTATGTGCGGTCCCTGGTCGGTCGTCTTTATGTGCGGTCCCTGGTCGTCTTTATGTGCAGTCGATGTGCGTCTTTATGTTTGGTCGCTGTGCGTCTTTGCGGTCGCTGTTAGAGTTTTTGTGTGCTCACTGGTCGTCTTTACGTGCGGTCGCTGCTCGTCTATAGATTAAACAGTGAATCTTTTCTCTTCTTCCATTTCCTCAGTAAAATACATCTTTTAACCTCATTTAACTTTTTTGCTGATTCAGTTTTTTCTCTCTCCTTCTAACACGCTGTCTTTTCTTCACAGCAGTGTCCACCACGATTTAACAGTTGGTACTAAGGTAGGCACCTCTGCTTCCTCTTCATCCTCTGCTTCTTCCTCCTCTCCCTCTCTCTGGTTTGTTTTCTGCTGTCAACTCTGAGTGTATGACATACGAAACGTTGGAACCGTTTTCTGTGTAGTTATTATTTTCTTGATTGACTCAAACTGCAGCAGTGATTCCACCACATCCCTCACTCTTCAGAGAATCTGAACTTGAGTCCCATCAGCTGCTGACACAAAGTTCATCTGATTATTGATTATCTTTCAGTCATTTCCTCTGCTCAATAATCAGCTGTTAGTCTCAGGAATACTTCACTATTTCAGTGTCAGAGTGGGGAAATACTTTCTTTAACTGGAGAAACACATCGATCAACAGGAAATTAATGTGAATCTTAGGACAGATTCATACATACATTGTTTGTCTCACTGTGATTATGTGACTGTGGTTGTGTGAATCGTGATATCACTGTGGACATTTCTCACAGTATTCTGACATTTGATTGGGCGATCTGTGGTTCAGCACTGAACACACAAGGTAAATTAATGTCACACACTCAGTACTTTACAGTAGTCGACTACATGCACTTGGTTACTTTGCATTCATTTGGTGTTGAGAACACCAGATGAATTTCTGAAGCAGTGACGTGTTGTATTTGAGTACTATAGGAAACAGGAAAGTCAGGTGTAGAACCAGCAGGAACCGGTCAGTCTGATCACTTGTAGTGGGCGGGGCTCTCCCTGGTTTACTGTGCACAGGTACAATGACAATAGAAAGATACAATTAGCAACTACTTGTTTTCCATGAAGCGAGATAAACTGGCACAAACTTTCTTCGTTACCTGATCTGCTGCTTTCTGTGAGGACTTGGGCAAGCCAAGTCCCCCATCACACAGTTAAGGCGACACATGCTTTTCTTGCACTTTCATCTAATTTAATTTAGAAACAGATTCAGACAAATTGAGCCGGTCTGAGGTCAAGAAACGCTGTTGCCACCACCGCCCAGGAAACGCCTCGAGGAAAATATCGAATGTGTGACAGAATCTTTAAATCGGTGACTTTGTTCTGACATTTTTATTGTGTTAACGTATTTAATGTTGAAACAGGAATTGATTAGAGAACAGCAGCTGCTGGTGTTGAACAAATTCAGTTTCACACTTTCCAAGCTCATGAAAATCAACATCATCTGATCAGCTGATGATAATTTATTATTGATTATTACGAATTATTTACTCATTTGAAGTTGATAAAAAGTTAGGACTAAAATGACTCGGAACTATTTATCTATAATCAGAAATTATTCAAGAAATGTTTAAATTAAAAGGCAATATTTTCAACAACTTAATGTCCCTAATAAAAGCTTGAAAGTGTTTTAATTTGATGATTGAGTAAATGATGGTAACATTAGATCTATTCACCTTGTTCAGTTTTATAAATCACCAGTTCTTTTCATGATTCATCTTAAACTTGATCTTCACTTAGTTCATAACATGTCAGTAAAAGATGAAACTGATCAGTTCAGTGTGGGATCAATGAAAACACAGAATCCTCCTCAGAACATTTTTAAACATATTGGAGTAAGACGAAACAGACACAGCTGGACTCCAGCAGGGGGCACTCCGTAATTAAATTCCGACCCTCCAGCGTTTTTATTGGAAAAATGAAAGAAATTCATCACAAACAAACAGATCAGCAAATCAACAAAGTGATCATGTCCATCTGCTGCCCGGCAGCCCAAGTCCGGCAGGTTGTACCCAGCTGTCAGATACTCAGACAAAGAGACGTCTCTGGTTTCTGCTTCATTATTCATCAGTAGAATCAGTAAAGAGAACTGAGCTGCTCTGTTCAAGTCTGCTCACTTTCATCATTCAAGCTTTTTCACACATGAAACGAACCACAGACGTGAAACTGAAATGTTCTGGAGGTTCTGAATGTGACAACTTTTCCTGCAGTCTCTAGTAAAACATCTGTAAAATGTCAGAGCGAGTCCATGTGAGCGAGTGGGCGTGTCTC